AAATACACAAAGTATTTAAAATACGTATTTCAAATACTTGTATTTGAAATGTATATCGAGGCGCCAATGTTTCAATGTTGTGTGCTTGTAAATTCAATTGTAATATCAATTTTCCCACTAAATTTAGCGGGGAAATTGACGTCACGTGACTTGGTGTCACGTCACCTATGAACAAATTCAGTTTCTCCGCTGCATTTTTTTTTTTTCCCGCCACATCATTATTTTGTTTGTTGCTCATGAACACAACCGCATACGTCGACTACTATCATCTCGGAGAAAGAATTTTCAATTGTTGAGCCTAGGCTCTTTGATAAACTTATAACGGAGCATGACTGGAATTCTTTTTTACTAACTGTGTCTCCAGTTGATATTTACGAGCAGTTTGTAGCCCAGATGAATCTCTTTAAACGAGCGGCTACTCGTATGATAAAAATTAAGCAACGTAAACAAGACCAGAAATGGATGTCGGCTGAGATTCTCGTAGCGATAAAAGAAAAAGACTTGCTCTGGGTCCAGTCAAAGCGATCCCCCGGTTGCATTTCGCTGCGGTTGAATTTCAAGCAATCTAGGAACAAGGTGAATGCTATGATTCGTCTAGCTAAACGAAAGTACTTTAGAAATGAATTTAGAGACGCTCGTTTCGACATTAAAAAAAGCTTGGTTGCTTGTCAATAGTCTCAGTGGTGCAAAGACATATGTTACTAATAAAGATAGTTCTGTTCTCTCAAACTTTACTACTGATGGCAGACTGCAGTCAAAGATTTCAATATTTTTTTTTTTTCTGAAGTATCGGGTGTCGAGAGGCAGCATCCAGACTTTTGTACTTACAGGATAGTGTATTGGGCTCGGCTTACCTCCCTTTCCTTACTGAAAACGATCTTAAATCGCTGCTTTTTAATCTGAAACCCAACAAATCCCCTTGGATTGACGGCATCTCAGTTAATGTTTTGGGCAGAAATTACGAAATAATTAAAACGGTTTTGCTCTCTCTCTTGAATAATGTGATCTCTAATGGCATCATCTTATTAAAAATGAAAACTGCGCTGATCATTCCCTTGTTCAAGGGTGGAGCGCGAAATAATGTAGAAAATTACCGTCCGATTTCGATCTTACCTTGTCTTGCTAAGATATTAGAGAAACATTTGTGGAGAGTCATGACAAGCTTTTCAGATAAACATAATATTCTCTCACCCTATCAGTACGGATTTTTACAAGGCCGAGGTACCCAAATGCTGCTGAAAGATTTTTCTGATGAGGTTAATTTATCTTTTTAACGTAATCAGGCGGCCTATGCGCTTTTTTTTTTTTTTTTTTGGACGTTAGCAAGGCTTTTGATGGGGTTTGTCACGATATTTTACTGACAAAGCTTTCAATGTTAGGTTTCCGTGGTTCTTTCCTACGGCTGCTGGAGAACTTTTTGCAAAATAGGCGTCAGTGTGTGTCTGTTGGACAGTTTCAAAGCGAATTTTCTCTTATCAAAGCTGGTGTCCCACAGGGTTCAATTTTAAGTCCGCTTTTATTTAATATTTATGTTAATGACCTACATAAAGTTGTGCCAATTTCTTTATTTCAGTATGCCGACGATACTGTCCTGTTAGCCAGAACGTCCAACTCTTTAGAAGCTATGTCAGCTTTATAATCTGCGGCTATTAAAGTTATGAACTGGTTTGCAGCTAATTTAATTTTAATTAATGCTTCTAAAACTCAGCTTATTTGTTTCCACAGCCCTCTAAAGAAAGTTTCTCTAACTTATTCTTTATTGTTGCATACGACAGATTGTTTGCATTGTGATTGTGTTCCTGTAAAAGATAAATCTTCTGTGAAATACCTTGGAGTGTTTTTTGACGGCGATCTTGCGAGGAATTCTCATCTTTTGCATGTTTGTAAGAAACTTCGTGCAGTATGTTGTATGTTGTATAATATCCGATATTTGATGCATCTTTCGGTACGAAAGGTTGTTGTTCATGCCCTTGTATATAGTGTGCTTCGGTATGGTGTGACTGTTTACGGTCATTGTGCTCTTCGCTGGCAAGATAGAATTAACTGCCTTTTACGTTCTTTGTTAAAAAATATTTCATATGACCTGTGTCTAGAGAAGGATGTCGATGTATTTAAAGTATTGGGCTTTCCACACTTTAGCTCACTTCTGATAGAAACTATTGTTCACAGGCACTATTGGGCTAGCCAATTTAAAACCCCGTACATTCCGCCGCGTTATCTTAGACCCAAATACTCTTACTGTATACCTCGATGCTCAACAAAATTTGGAAAACGAATTCGTAAGTATTACATGCCAGCAATCTTCAACAAACTTCCTTCTAAAATGCATAACATAAAAAAGAAATACCTTAAGAAGTATTAGTTTTTAATATTGTTTAATGAATGTTGTGTTTTGTTTCTGTTTCATTTTTTGCTGACTATATCTGTGCAGTTTCGTTTCACTGACTGCCAGGCGCTGCCAGACAAGCCCGGTGTGGCTTTGGCAGGCCTGATTCTGTACTTTTTTTCTGGTCAAGTAATAAAAATAGTATCATTTATTTATTTATTTATTGATTTAGCGGGAAAATTTACGTCACATGCGGACGACGTGGAGTGCAAGGTATGGAGGAGGGGAAGAGGAGGAGGAGGGGAGGAGGGGGTAGAAAGGAGGAAGAGGGGGAGGAGAGGAGTGGAAGAGGAGGGGAAGGGAAGTAGGAAAGGAGGGGAGGAGGAAGGGCATACTCTCCCCTCTATACTGTCCCCTGCTCCTCCTCAAGAGCTGCGCTCTAATTTCCCGTTACAGAGATTCGTAAATGTCTAACTTCTTTTTTGTTTTGTTTTCAATTAAGTTTTATAAACTAACACGCTGTTTATAAACAAGCCCGTATTTGCTTACATAAGGTGTGGGCACTGCGCGTGCGCAGAAACCAAATTCGGGAGGAGTGAAGCGTCTGCGCATGCGCAGTGCCGTCGACAGCGCCGCCGCATCTGCGTGACGTCGGGGCGGTGTGTTGGTCTATATGAGGTAGCATAACACAAAAAAGACCTTACTTTAAAAATCAAGCTTCCTTGTTTTTGTAAAAAAAAAAAAAAATAGCGTTTCGGAGGAGGAGGAATTACGATTACGCGCAGACGCAATTTTGAAGGCCACAGGTGTAAAAAAAAAAAATTAATTTGCTACAACGTAAATATTTTTATGTGTAAAGCACGCGACCTAAGACATAGTTTATTTAAATGTGCAGTTAAAGTAAAATAAAATGGCGAACTTGGTCTCTTGCTCAACTTTTTTATATTTAGGCATTTTTAGCGATGTTCAGCACTTATTAGAAATAAGATTTTAGGGTGAAAATGTTTGTATACGGAAAAGGTATTGCTTTGTTCATTTTTAACGAAAAAAATTCTCTCAAGTATCTTAAGTGGCTTTGAAATTGCGTCCAAAAGGTTTCAGAAATTTAAAAAAAAGAAGTCAAAAGTGTCAATTTTTGTGCGGTGATTAAAAAAAAATATTTCTCAATTATTTCAGATTTCCCTCGATGAGCCCCCGTGCTCACACGCAGAAAAGAGTTGATGCAATTTTCCGTCGTCACCATTAAATTTTATGTTTCTTGCACTATTTACACAGACAGTTAAGAGCTATAAACGTGTTTTTATACATTTAAATGGCGTTGAGTATACTAACTCCTCTTTCTAAAACAATTTATTTCCAAAAACGATTAACGTCAGAGCAGAACCATGTCTTTAGTTATCATCATCACCGGCACGGGGTATCACGTGAAAATATCGCGTCCCTGGTTGGCCTGCTGCCGCTTCAGACGTCTTCAAATTGCTCCGAGTTGCTCGCTTGTTTTGAGCCGCTTCCGATCTCAGCAATCGTGTCGATCTATAGGGAAAGCAATAGCGAACAACCTGCCAGCAACCCCAATTGCAGAGAAAGTTGCCCCGTCTGAGCGGGCCTTTAATGGGGGTAGCCTGTTGACAAAATGATTTCATTAATTTATCTAGACATCACACTACCCGGTTTCTAAATTCGATTAATTGTAGAGGATTGGCGTTCAGCTAGCTCAGCCTATCTGGCGTACCAAGTGACAACGCGTCACTTGTGCACCTCTCAAATATCACGTGGAGCTCATATGATGATATTTATTTAACCCACAGGGCTGGCCAAACATTACACCTTGAAATATTTTTTAACCCCCCTTTTTTTCGAGCATAGCATGGTCCCAAGCTGTCTGACCACTCAATAAGTGAGTCACAAGTGGGTCGCCCTTTTCGGAGGCGTTGTAGGGGATGGCGGGTGTATCACTGGGGCGAAGCTGCGTAAACGTTTACGCCGCTTCGCGGCGACAGTCTGCGGATGGTCTATTAAAAATATTAACCTACCTGAACCGCCCGTACACGCCGCTTCGCGGTGCCCCGCCGGCGGCCCAAGCCCCGCTGTCCCCCATTGCACCCCCGAAAAGGCACAAGTGGGCACGCTAGTAGTCCCAAAGTCATCCTAGTATTGACTTTGTGACTAGCGTGGTCACACCAAGTCACACGATGAGAAAAATACTAACACATGTTGGTCATAACCGAATTCTGAACAAAAGAAAACGGCATGCTTCTATTCGTTCGAATAGGTTAAAGCCGATCATTTCACTCTCTATTTATTCAATGCATCGCTCACCGATGTGCTCTTAATTACTACATAAAAAACACGACCCCTTCCAAAAGAGAACTTCAGTGAAACCAGCAAAACCAGTGGGTAAAACTGTGAACGATTTTGTTTAGTTTCGGTTTCGAAACCGACATGTTTGAGGCCATGGTTACTGACGCTGCTTTTCTAAAGTTCGCCAACATTGGCGTACTTTAAACAAATTGTAAAAAAAAAATTTTTGCTTTTGAATTTATATTGTTACGTTTTTGTTATTTTACACACTGTTTTGGTGAATCACTAGGTTGGAAAAACTGTGCAACACCGTAATCGTAAAGGTCTAAAGGCACAACCAGCTACAACAGTCCAATCCAATCCAAGCCGTGCTTGTGTTGGTCGCTGATGTTAGTGTAGCAGATAAGGCGATTGCAGATCTCGTTTCCTCGTGTTACCACGTGTTTTGCTTATAGATTGAAATAACGGCACGTTTTATGAACTATAACAAACTCTAGATCGGGCTTATCGCCATGTCAAGTCGGGGATCAAGAGGAGGACACGCTTTCTACGGTAAGGCAACCGCATGATCTAAGCCTAACGGTCTCCGCAAACTGGAAAGATGGCAAAGCAATGTTATCATGAAGGTCCAATTCGCCAACGGTCGTCCACACGTTTACACACGTACAAAAGAAAAAAATGACAGCACATAGCCCCGTTCTTTGCATCTTGTGAGTAGGGATGTCGATATTTTTGCATCGCACGCATGTATGTTGCTTGGAAGCGAGCCCACTCGTTACAGGAAAACTCGTCATAGGAGCACTGGTCAAATCGGACATCTTGTCCTAGGTGACAAGAACGGCCTTATGTCAGCAGGTGTCTTTGGAAAACTTCGATCGTGGTGCCCCCTCACCTTCACCGCATCTTGTGCGCCAAGTCCTTTTGCACGTGACTCTCGAACCTACAGGGTGATTCAAGGAGAGGCCAGGCTCTTTAAATAGACCGCAAAATTCGTTTTCTTAACCTATCGCGCTACGACTTTGTGCAGCGTTGCCCACAGATAATTCTTTTTTTTTTTCTTTTTTTGTAAAATTTGCAAAGAGCGAACTTACCTGAGGGAAAAGTAAAGAAAGAAAACGGCTTAGCTCCTATGGAAACGCAGCGAAGCCACTGGTCTTCAAACAACACGGCGCCGTTTCGCACGGGAGACAAGAGATGGCGCAAGCAGTTGTGACGCCAACTGCCGCCAATGAACGAGCATATGATGCCGAGAGCCGGCGTCTTTAGCAGACAAGAAACTGCAGTTTCTTGTTGTTACCGCTCCTGTTTTTGTTTCTGCGACTGTCGCCGCCTGCGGAACGCGCCGTTTTTGAGTCGAAAAGATTGTCTGCTAAAGACCCTGGCTTTCGGCGCCGTATGCTTGTTTGTTGGCGGCGTTCGCTGCGCCATCTCTTGTCTCCCGTGCGAAACGGCGCCGTGTTGTTTGAAGACCAGTGGCGTCGCTGCATTTCCATAGGAGCTAAGCTTTTTTCTTTCTTTACTCTTTCCTCAGGTAAGTTCGCTCTTTGCAAATTTTGCAAAAAAATGCACCATTTGTGGGCAACGCTGCACAAAGTCGTAGCGCGATAGGTTATGAAACCGAATTTTGCGGTCGATTTAAAGAGCCGGGCCTCTCATTGAATCACCCTGCATACATTTTGGACAAAGACCTGCTTACTCGAATCCGCGTCGCTAGTAGGCATGTCGAGTAGTGACCTAACAGAGATCTTTTGCCTTACCTGTAAGCATGTGCTCCATCCCAATGAGTGGAATGGGCGCTCGGTCAGGGTAGTATCTATGCATGCACTGACACCACGTCGGCGGCCGTTGTGAAGATCCTTGCTGCAACGCGCTTACCTTCTGCGGCAAATATTTTGCACCATCGCATTTGCTTTGCTTGGCAGGAACAAGTAGAAATGACCATTGGTACGGTGTGGTAACAACAATTGCAAGCCATGCACAGAGTAGTCCACTTTTAAAAGGAACGCCAGAACGCGTGGCTTGTGCTCCGCACAATGTCAACTGCCGCCGCCCACGGAAGTTTAGCGTAGATGTGGCTGGTGTGTGCCGTGCGTCAACAGCTATGCCACCCCTATTTTGCACACTGCATCTGCGCCGTAGAGGACGCATGACATACACCACCTCTTGTGCTCTCTGCGTCTGTGCCAAGCTTCGACGAGTTCTTGGAGCCGGCGCTCTGCTGAGCGGCAGCCACACAATCCGGTGTTCCCTTTAAAAGTGTACTGCTCTGCACATCTGTGCACCCTGCTGAAAACAAACATCCTGTTCGCTTTTCTAATTCAAGGAGAAACGGGCAAGGGTAGGTCACGGTGGTGACTGTGACGCCTTCATGTCGGATAGGACAAGGCAGTCATTGTTTGCCTGACGTACGGCGTGACTGACCACACAGGCAAGGCCTGGCAAGGGTGCTACAATTTGCAAATGAGCAAAAACAGCTTTAAAGGGATTGTTTTAGGAGGCAGCTTTCATTCCTTTACTCAGTACAAAGCAGACGACGTCCAGCGAAGCAGCTCGGCAGTGGCGGTGACACTCCAGTGCATCATACGCAGTGTACCCTGTGACGATATTAACCATAGCATTTTCAGGTCACTTTACAGAAATTGCTGCAAAAGAGAACTAGTACCACTGCAGTCTTGCAGTACAGTAGGAGGCAGGAGCTGGCAGCAAACAAACAACGGGAGGCAAAGAGTGTCTGGCCAAGCGCGGCAGCCACGCTATACTTAACCACTTGAGCTACTGCACATGTTGAACACTTAGATGATGATGATACTGCCACTGAATTCTTATGTCACTGCACAGAAAGTACTGCTAACAATTGGGGACTCTATTACAACTCTTTGACACAAACCTGGTTAGGTCAAGACCGGGATAGAAAGCAAAAAACCTGCTGCAAAGGAGTAGTGAGCATTTCAAACAACCCTCTTGCTAAGCGCAAGCTGCCATCATGTTGAAAGCAGTTTTCTTTATAAAACTGGAAGCAATTGGCTTGCAGACTAATAATAATTCCTTTGAAGGGGCATGAGTCGCTACATTCGTAACGTGTTACTTACAGCCAAGTCCTCTGAAACCTTGAGGAAACTCTTAACACTACTCTGTAAGTCTGTGTTACTGCATTTGAACCCTCGCGTGTTGGAACATTGACGAGAAGAAAAAAAAAAACCCCGGACAACCAGCTTTGTGCATATGCACATGGTACACAAAACATATCTGTATAACTATACCCATAAAACACCCCTGCCATGTGCTTGCTTTGCAGTGAGCAAATGAACTGTAAACCAAAAACCACGCCTAATGGAATGGTTACCAAATGTGAATTCTCTACCGAGATTAATCTTGATAAAACAAATTGTAATCATATGGCTAATTCAGACTGTTCTATATCAGGTTTTCCACAGTACATCCAAGTTTCCAAGCACAACCCTCTCTAAATCAAGCGTCCTGGGATTTTGAATTTGCCACAAAATTGTCATTAGATACAATATGTCTCCTCAAGCACGGGTACAAAGGGCACCGTTTCACATCTGTCGGGCCATTTGTCGTAAACCCGACAGGTTTGGATTTCAGACATGTTGAACACACGTTGAAACGTGAACAAAACGCAGCTGCCATGTCTCAGTTTCATCAGTTCAACGTGACGTAGCATGACCCATAGTGTTGCAGGTGGTTCGCTCTCTGCAGGGAAAAAGGTCATGAATGGTAGCGCAGTTGTGCCAATCGTCCAGTTTCCAAGATGCCTATTGGCAGAACTCCTTGATGAGGAACTCGACCCAAATAGTGCAGCTGCGAGTGATGCAATCAGGTCATCCCGTTACAGGTCACGACGATCGCGGCGGCGGTGGCGGCAGCGGTGGCGGCGGCAGCGTCGGAAACGGTGGCCGCGGAAGAGGAAACAATCGGGGCGGAAGGATGGGCAACCGAGGAGGCTTTGGGGGTCCTATCCTGAAGCGCTTCGTCCGCCAGAAGTTCAGGGCACCCACCGGCGCTTACAACACCTACGGTGAGTACGATCGCACTTGTTGCAAACTCAATGACTTCAGACGGGGCTTCTTAAAGGAGATACCGTCGACGGGCCACTGTTTTTTCAGTTTGTATATTTTTATGTTTTTAGTATGATAGGGAATTGGGCTGTCCACTCTTACAAAAAAGACACTGAAATTTAAAAAAAAAAAAAAAGTTTTTTAAGGGTTTTTTTAATGTTTAAAACATTTTAAAATGTTTTTAAGTACTTAAAACTAATATTTTTATTTTTCTAAGAATATCTGCTTCAAAAGCCACTTTCTCTGCTCCGAAACATTGTCTTGGCTGCTCCAAAAGCCACTTCTGCTGCTTGAAAACACTGTTTTGGTTGTTCCAAAGGCCACACTTGTTGCTCCAAAACACTGTTTTGGCTGCTTTGAGAAGTGCTCCAAAATGGCTTAGGCCAATCACATCACTGTCATTATCTACAGACATGTCTCGAGCATGTTCGAAGCATGTTTTATTCGTACATGCGTATGCTTCGAACATGTCTGCACACTTTTTGTGTGACCAATGTGACAGTGTGTGCATACTGTCCTGTACCGTGTGTGAGTGGTGTGACCACGACTTAGTGGCGGCAGCACACAGGTGCCAAAATTTGATGGAGCGGAACTGTCCTGTTTCCGCATAGGCTCACACTTATGCGAAGAGCAAGTCGTCTGCTTCTTGCGCAGGTGGGGTGGTGACGTCAGGACGACGTCGAGCTCTGATTGGCTTTCATGGAAAGAATAGTGGGTAGACCTCAGTGGTAGGTGCCTTGAGGTCTACCAACTATTTTTTTCAATCGGCCAATTAGAGCTCGGCATTCGGACATCATCGCAACACCTATGCAAGAAGCAGACGAACTTGCACCCCGCATTGTCTTCAGCTGGGTTTTGACTGTGTATGCTACCAAGTGTTGTCGAAGGCGGAAAGCTGACGCCTGTGGTAGAGTCGTCGCCAACTACAGTGGCCATTGTTTCTACGGACTAGTCACGACATGTGCAAAGGGGTCGGTGCAGTCAGTTTTTTCGGGCGACTGATCGTTGAATATGTCAGTGATCTGATTGCTGCACCATTTGCGCCAAAGTGGTTACCCTGCTACATACACCCTACCACATTTTACCCGGAATGCGGGTAATTTGTGCCAACGCTGCACCAAAAGCTCATTTCATTTTATCAGAACAGAAACTAATGGCTTAGTCATCTCTACACTGCCAGATTGTTACAGTTAATAGTTTATATGTGACTGCAACATTCTGACAAGTTGCACACATCATTTGTCAGTCTTTTTTTATTTTATTTTTTTATTGAGATTTAGTGAAGGGTTTGAACTTGGGTATTGGGAAGTGGTTGATGAATCACAGGGATTAGGTATAGACCTTTTTCTTGTACTCTTGTCCCCTGCCACCTAATAGGCATATCTGGTGTGGGCGACGGAAAAATACTAAGACGTTTCAACCTGTAACTAGTACAAAAATAAGGGGGAGGCAAAACGATAATGTGTGACGGTTACGCTTATATCCTAAGTGTCTTCCTTCTACTGGCGTGGCGACAGCAAAACATTGTTTTCGCCCATACTGGAAGTGACAACAATTCAAGATGGCAGCGCCCTTGAAGAAAAGGTCTATAGCTGGGCTGCGCCAGAGTTTTTTTTTTTTTTTGTATGTTTAGTTAACACCTCTAGGTAGGCCCCCAAATGCTTGTGAACAGAGTCAATAAAGTTTAGATTTAAATTAAATTGACTTAGTAGTGGAATGAAAACTGGAGAATACCATTAATAAGTTTAGCTGTATTTTTATGACATATTTATTTTCCACATGCTTACTATTCATCATCATAAATCTCCAGATGTAGGATGCAGCTAAAGTGCAGAACTAAATTACCTTTGAAATTTAATTTTATGCTTTGCTATAGATTTTAACAAATTGCTGCACAGAAATGAAAAGGCGAATTTAAAGCACTGTTTTTTTTTTTTTTGTTTTTGTTTTTTTTTTTTTTTTTTTTTTACATGCCAAGTTATGAGTCTTGAAATAGTATTCACAGTAGAATGAAGGGTCTGCTTGTGCTCCAATCAATTTTTTTTATGCTCCGAAATTGACCTCCTGGCTGCTCCAAGGTGCTCCAAAATGACTCGAACCAATCTCATCACTGATATGTTATCTCTCTTCAATTATCAAGCAGTGGGCTTCAAATCGTGTTGCCAGATTTTGTTTCTCTGCGTTTGTGCCTTGGGAACCTTTCTCCAACGTCGTGAGCTTGGCCATGCAAAAATGCAGCTTTCGGTTTCGAGAGGGCCCCTGACACAAGCCGCTTTTAAAGTGGACCATCCAAGCGCCTAGATAAAATGCATGCTTCACATTTCTTACAAGTAACCATTGTTGTGCAGATGCTTAAGGCACTCGCCACGCGCGAGTGCCAGGCCGCCATTTCCTTCCAAGGGCTGCTCATTTCAGTTCAGTGCCACTTTTTGCTTCCAAGGGCCATGCGAGGCACAGGCCTCGTGACGGCCTGAAGCTTCAAGTAAGCAGGCCTCGTGCATTGGCGCACACGTCACTACCCGTAAGACAAACACAACTGCATCGAGGTACTTCCGGCTGCACAACTTTGAAATGCTTCAGGCTTTTGCCACAACGTGGTGCTATTCTGACAAAAAAGTGGTGATTCGAAGCTTGCTCCTTGATTTTGGTAGAGAATCAATCAGCTGCCTGGGCAGCTCCTGTTGTACCTCGTCCCACCTTAAAGGACACATGCAAAGGAAAAAAACATTTTTTTTTAGACAGCTTAGATGGAAAAAGGATGTCATAAAACAATTTTACAACGAAGAAAAAAAAAATTTTAGAGCTATATTTACGGCGCTATACGAATTTGTAGTTGGCGCTCGCGGGAGCCGCCGCTGGTCACGTGGTAGGCCCGCGCGCCGCCGCGCTGCGTCGCCGCCGCACGCTGAGCGTTGTGCGAACGCCGCTTCAACGCGTTTCTCCACGCCGCCGTCGCCGCCGCCGCACAAGTTCGTCTGCTTCGGGGCGCCGCCGCCGTCGTCTGACCGGCGCACAGGTCTATCACGTCTGCTGGCGCTTTTTCAGGAGTTTCCTTTGGGCTCTAAAAGTTACTTATTCATCTTAGTTTTTTGTTGTACTTCAAACAAAGATGAGTACGTTACTTTTAGAGGCCATAGGAAGCTTCCGAAAGAACGCAAGCACCACGTGATAAATAAGAACCAGTCACGTGATAAATACGGACCACTTTTCCGCGGTGCCCGCGGGCGCCAACTACAAATTCGTTTTGCGCCGTAAATATAGCTCTAAAAATTTTTTTTCTTCGTTGTAAAATCGTTTTATGGCGTCCGTTTTCCATCTAAGCCGTTTAAAAAAAATGTTTTTTTCCTTTGCATGTGTCCTTTAAGCCAGAGGTTGGACCTGTCACGTCACGAGATCGGCAGCTGTTACTGTAGCCGCCAACATAATGTCGCCTCCGCCAATGTTGAACACTTTGGCTACGGTGTGCCCTATCTAAAGATCAGTTTTTACTCGGAGAAGAGTATTTCTTGAATGACTATTTTTTTTAAAGCAATAACTTTATGTGGGAGCCTTCCCCAGACCTTGCTTGCTCTCGGTGCCGTCAGTCACACTGCAGCAAGGCCACGGGAGAGTGCATCATTAAAGGAGCGAAGCTGTTGGTTTGACCTCGTAGCTGCTGCAACAAGAAGCAAAGTGTCACGTGATATCACAGTGCCATGTTACATTGTGTTGTCCCGCGATGATGCCTTGTAATGTGACGTCACAATTTCCCTGCCATATTTCGATAAAAACTGTTGCTCATCGCCCAGCTTGACCGAACGTTTAAGCCACGTGATTTTTCACCGTCAGCTTGAGACTCCCCGAACAAATCACTTTCAAGCTTTGGAAGCTATTTGGTGGTCCAGTCTGACTCAGATTGCTTATGATATTGCTACTTGGTTTCGTTCTCTACCAGGTCGAAGAGACGCAGGCGGAGACAGGGCAAGGTTTCAGGATGACGACGACGACATCGACATGCTCGGTGGTGGCGGCAACCTGCCCGACAACATGAGGGGAAGATTGTGAGTCGGTCTCCCCACCCCTAGGTCAAACTCAGCTGGGCTGACACGTGTGCTTTCCTTGTCTGCAGCAAGCCGTATGGACCGTACAACCGCAACCGGAGGAAGCGTGGCGGAGGCAACGAGAGGAGGCCGGGTAAGGGACACGTTTAGAGGAAATCGTAGCACTGGAATGCAATGGAGTATGCTGTAGTTAGCACCGGGAAAGTGCAGGCGCCTGGTGTTTGCACGTGGGCGTTGATCTGGCAGTGGTGGCAGATAGCACAATTTTGCCGATTGTTGTCGTACCTCGAGCCACTGCTATGCTTAGAGCACCGGCGCTCCCTTCCCGGACCGTCTTGCGGACACCGCCATTTTGGTGCTCGGTGCGAACCAGGTGCACTTGACGATCGTTATATTTAGAAAATTGTTTCCTTTGTTGCGGACTCCTCTGTTGCATTTTCCTTTGTTGTGGGTTTCTAGGGGACGGAAACGCAACCCCTGCAGGTTTAGGTGACTGACGACAATGATTTTAAGTACCATGGTGGCAGGAGTGTCGTCGCTCCAAAGCTACGCTTTTTTATCTACTCTAGTCACACCTAAGGTTTGTCACTATTTTGCAGAGTGTGCCCGCAAGCACCTTTTTGTACATCCACGCTGACAGGCCGGATTGACGTTATTAAAGTCCGTCGAGCCAACAACGAATGGCGGCTGTTTTCACTCAGAAAAGTGACAGTTACAACACTCCCGGTGCGACGTAGCACGCCCCTTATTTGTGCGAACGAATGCACAAACATTGTGGTACCAAGGTGGACGCCTGTGTGGCTCCTTTAGTGGTTTTGTTGACTCAGTTGTGCACAAACACGCTCGTCACGGTTTTTGTCGATTCAAGGTGGCTCGATTGTCAACACGTCGGTCGTTCAGCCGTGCCGGCATTGGTAGACCTTTCGCTAAATTACTGGGCATCGAGAGGCATGTTGTGAGCGTAGTTTCACTCGCTGGACATGCTGGTGTCTGCAGCATGTCCAGTACAAGTGTTCCGAGACTGAAACCTAAGAGCAAGCGGCACTTTGCACGAGCGTTTGTCAACGGCGCATTACAATTACTGATTTCAAATCTTCTTTACCGATACTGCGAGCATTTGTACCTACTTTCCCAGCATTCTCCTTTGCTTGGGTAATTGGTCTGTTAGGTCTTTTTTGCCAAGTCTATGTCAGTCTGCAGTCAGACGAGTGGCGCCAAAAGCCCTATTCCGCAGTTAAAGGGCAACTCCGCTCAATTCCAAAGATTTCAGGATAATGAATGATTTCACATTAAAAAGCCCTAGTAAAAGACACTACGTTGTTTGCTTCACGAAAAATGGTATATATATTTTTAAATCAAATTTTAAACACAAGCGGAAATCGAAACCGAAACTTCGGCTCCGTCCGGCAACATTGGCCTCGGGCCGCCAAGAGCATGGCCGTCACGTGGTATGAGATGTCATGTGATCATTTACGCAACGACGGGCGGGATTGGGGCAGGCGTGTGCCAGGCACAAGTGTCCTCTGCACCAAACTCTTCGCGACATTTTGGCGTCTACGACGTTCGACGACGTTTGGACAACTGCGGCATAAGTCTGCGCACGTGGTGTTTGTAGTTTGGACAACTCGGCAGCAGAACGAGGTGCCCTGGGAGCGTTTGGTGGTTCCGCTCATTTGGGGCCCTTGGGAAGTTGTTTCTTGAACCTTGGGTGTGTTTTGTTTCCAGGAAATGAGATGTACGTGCCTCCACACCTCCAGAAGAGAGATGGGGAGCTGGTCTGGTTCAAGGTTGTGGTGAGTGCAAGTCTTGTAACTAATAATCTAAAGCTTAAGAAAAATAATTTTTTTTAAATTTGCAAAAAAAATGTTCAGCCCTTCCACTCTCATGAAGAAGGAAGACCAGCTGAGCTGTACTCGATACACTGTGTGCTTCTTCGTCGTCGTCTGTTTTTCGCGCTGTTTCCTACGATGAATTCCCACCAGCGCGCCCAACTATCCATTCTTCTATTATAGCTGGAAAGGTTGCCGCCATCTACGAGCGACGGCGGAAACCATACTGGTTGTGTGCTTGCTGTTGTCGCTTATAGATGGCGGTAGCTTTCCAGGTAGGTTTGTGTCGACATACACGGACACGATCCTGGGGAACCTAGCCCTTAACAGCTCTGCTGTAAAAGAAAAAAGATTTATGAATCTGACAATTTGTTTTAAGAGGTGTAAGCCAGCAATTTTTTTGAAGACATGTACCAACTTAAAACAGCAATGGCAAGGGTGTTCTTGGACAGGTTTTGCGGTAGGTGTTTGAATTATATACGGGAGCTTTGTCAATCGAGCTGCTTTTTGACTACGCATCTGGTGATAGCGATCCGCTTTTCGTCATATCAAATGCTGTATTGGGTTTACTGGAGCGGCTAACTTGCCGCCACCGTTTGTCAATTGGGGTGTTATATTGCGCAGAAGTATGTACATACGGTGGTGCACTGGCAGCTTCTCAGTTGTAGTCGTCTACAAATTTTGGCCACACTGGGGAAGTTAATTAGACCTGTTTATTCTATCTTGCTTCTTCTTTCTTCTCCTCCCCGCCATTCTTGATCGTCATCCTCTTCTTTTATTACCAGGCTCGCTTCACTACCCCGTACTTCAGAAGTTATCCGTTCGGGGATTATACTGGCAAACATTTCCAGTTCAGGCAGTCTCCGTCGTCTCGTTAAGGTCCAAGTACCAAATCGTCTTCAGTATGCTGTGCAGCAGTTTTCGCAACGCGGTAAGGCCCGGAAAAGACTGGCGCTTGACTGAGGATTTCCTTTTCTGACGAGAACGAGATGATGAACCTTTAGGTTTGGTATCGAGGTGTTGTATTTTTCTATCAAAGTTTTGTTTCAGGTTGCCCCTGTACTTTTGTTTTGCAGCGCCTGTTTTGCGTATTTCTGTCAGTTGCAATTTCTCTGTTAAACTCGGCTTAGGATCGGCCGATAGAAAGGGAACTTTCCCAGTGGCAGCAAAGATCGGGCTACATCCCAGGCCCCTCGTGTACAATCTGTTGTGGTGAGACACAGCTACTTCGAGACAGCACTTCGAGCCTCCTGGAAAACTGGGTACATTTTCACGTATTGCTTAATGTCCAGAATTGCTCATTCAGCAAGGCTGCTGGATGATATGGTGCAGAAAACTTGAGTGAAATACCTTGCTGTCTTGCTCATTGTTTGAGCTTCTTGCTTCCGAAGGCTGGTCCATTGTCGGATTTGATTACCTTGTTGTTCTTCAACATTTCTCGGTTTAGTAGAGCCATGATGCTGTTCGCATCTTCTCTTCCAGCTCGTATAGCTACCATTCTTGTGCATTCATCAATACAGATGAGAAATGCTTGCGTCTGTTTTACTCCTTCGCTCTTCTCTTTCAACTCTGCGAAATTCAGGTGGACAACCCCAAATGGTTCCTTTCGGCACTCTGGAGTTGCCATTACGTCTGTAGCTTGCTTGAACTTTGCCTTGTGAAGTTGACATTCGTGACAAGACTGAATGTACAGTAAACCCTCACTTTGGCGAACGTCGGTTTAACGAAAATTTCAGAATAACGAACTTTTAAAAAAGCCCCGGTGGTTTTCCTATGCATTTGCGCAAAAATATTTCAGTTGAACGAATTCTGGAATGTAGTTAATAATTCAGTTAAACAAACTTGATCGGTGGACCCAGGATTATTTGCAATCAGTTCCTTGAAGTTTTGTGCTCCGCAGTGCTGGCGTAGCCGATGCCTGCCACCACCTCTGCAGTGATGGTGTATCATTGCTGGCGTTTGCAGCGCGCCTAGCCAAAGTGGCGGTGCGGTAGATGAAAAAGAACCACGGTGTGTATCTGTTTTTTTTTTACAGCGGTGCTGTTAAGGGCTAGGTTCCCGAGGATCGTGTTTGGTACCAAACAAATGTTGACACAAAGCTCTGGACAGCTACCACCATCTATGAGCGACGGCGGCAACCGGTTTGCCGGCCTCTTTCACAGATTCTAACGCGCAAGATGTGCGCATTAGAAACATGCAAACGCAGTACACAATGCGAAGGTCATGCGGTAACCTGCTGCAAACTCGTATGTTATGGGAACCGATGCCGCAAATCACGGATGCAGCAGATTTGCATTTCACAGTGCAACTAACATTTAGGATAATTCGTATGTCACAGGAACAGATATCACGTTTGCAGATCGCGGACAAAAAACTCAGGAACCCACTGCTAACGCGCATGCCACGGGGAAAAATATTGTGGACTCAGCAGACTCGCATTCTACGATGCAATAAACACGCGGGATCAACTTGCACGTCCCATGAACCAGTATCATAACGCGCAGATCACGGACAAGACAAAAACGCGGGCAAGGCCAGGATTTTTGGACATCCCATCTTAGTTGTAACGACCGTCGCCACGTGGCGCCTCGATCGTAGCAAGGCCGAGCGAAGAGAACCCTTTCTCGCACCCTTTCCCCTTTTCCCCTTGCCACCTTAGGAGAGAGAGAGAAAAAAAGGGGGAGGGGAAGTGTCCTTCTAAAAATAAAAAGAGGGAAGCTTTTTTTTTCTTTTTTTTTTTTTTTTGGCGGGGGGGGGGGGGGGGAGGGGGGGTCCCAGCTAATACGAGCTAATCCTGCCCAGTGGCCAAATTCGTCAGCTCAAGCGACACGCCAGAGATCGAACGCAGGACCTTGGGAAGCTGAAGTCAACCACAAGCACCGTTGCATCTTTGGAATCCTAACTGAATGTTTCTGGATATTTAGACAGCGCAATGCTTGTCGAATATTCAAGTGGCGACTGCCGCTTGTTAGTTGCCTCTACGATGTTGATAAGAAATTTAACCATTGCTGTATGACTTATAATCCGTTTCACCCTAAAATAGACCGCAGCAAACGCTATGATCCATTGGAGCATATTGACCGCTGATGACGTGTCACTGACATCCCGGCTTGGCAGAACGACATGGAGAAAGCGAAACCGCGTGTCCCGCCGATTGTGCTCGATTGACCGAGACGGCTCATAGTGTCCGCTGCGGACCAGCCCAAGAGAGTACAGACTGTATTTTGTAACGAGCAGTAACCAGTAGTGATACACAACTGCACGGCGGTACGAGGCTCATCCAGATTCAAACGGGCAGGGTCGGGACAAAATGACTAAACTCATGATCTTCGGGTTCTGCAGGGCGAGCTCTCGATACGCGCTCGCTTCAAGCGCGAGCGTGGGGCCCGGGATGATGCTTGCTCTGCACGTGCGCGTGCTTGGCAACATTCAAAGCGCGAGTAATACTCGCTTTCACTTCAAGTGTGAGCGCAGAAGCTACGAGTGCGAGCTCCCCTCTTTAAATTTGCTAAGCACGTGCACTCGTGCAGCGCAAGCACTGTTCAGGGCAGTATGCTCGAGCGTCTAGCTTCGGTTTCGCTCGCACTAAAAGGGATGCTGGATTTTAGTGTCTATAGTAATTGGCTCACAATCTTTCCACGAGCCAGCAGCCGCCGGTGTGCGCGAGCTTACGCAACGAAATTGACGTCATAGTCCCCCATTCACGCTTAAGATGACGGTGAAATGTCTGGGCTCCAGAGAAACGAAGAATAGTGACAAGCTTTTCATCTCCACAGCGGGGTCTGGTGTAAAAGGTAAGCGACTAATTGGTCTAACAAGCACGTAGGTTTTACTTTTGGAGATGAAAAGCCTGTCTTTATTCTGACTAGGCCTAAAGCCCATACATTTCACTGTCATCTTGAGCGCGAATGGGGTACTATGACATCAATTTCGTTGCGAGTGCATCCGCACAGGGGCGGCTGCTGGCTCATGGAAAGGTCGTTCGGCACTTATTATAGACACTAAATTGTTTGGTTCAGTATGCCTCTAAAATGAAACAGTGTATAGCATCGCACCCGCATCTGGTCGTGTTTCACTGCTGCGCGAGGCATGTTAATGTCCCCAGGCTAGCAGTCGTACTAAGTCGGCTAAATTTCAATTCCTCAGGTTAGAGACCTGTTGCCCCTTGCATGCCTGAAAATAGCCGCGATATCTAAATAGTCATACACACGAATTAAAGGCATTAGTTTTGTAACTTTTAGCTTCGATAACAGATGCTTTTTCCGCGGCACCAATTTCAACACAGCATTATCCTTCCCTCTAAGAAATGCCTGCGCATCTGGTTACCAGCAAAACACTCAAGGAGCCAATCTCTGCGAACTACGAAATCAGTTCAGCGAATGATGAGGCGGAAAATCCGTTTAGACTTAAAAATGGAGTCTGCGCTGTGGCAGTACGCAATGCGAATTGCGTCATGCTTGCAGCGCGTAATGCCACAGAGCAGACTTAACTTTGAGGCATAAACAGATGTTCCGCCTCATCATTCGCTGCGCTGATTTTGTCGATTGCAGAGATTGGCTCTTCGAGTGTTTTACGGACAAGTGGACGCGCAGGCATTTCTTAGAATGATGTATTGCCAAGTGACTCGCATGCACTCTAAAAAAAGTCCCGTGCGTCTACTTTCACGCACAAAACTCGGATAGCCAATCACCGCAACTTACGGAGTAACTTCAGCGAATGACGATACCGAAACATATGTTTCGACCGAAAAACGCAGTCTGAGTTGTGACATTAAGCAATGCAAAACGTCACGCTTGCATTGCTTAATGTCACAACTCCATCTGCGCTTTTTGATCTAAACATATGTTTCGGCATTGTCATTCGCTGAGCTGCCTCCGTAAGTTGCGGTGATTGGCTCTCCGAGTGTTGTGCGGGAAAGCAGACTCACGGGATTTTTTTAGAGTGTGCTTAAGAAGCCTTGCCTT